AGCCAGTTTTATTTAAGTCATTTCTCACCATTTTGTACCTGCAAACTGCGTCCCACAGCGTTCACACTCACATCCAACCAGACTTTGTCCCTCATCACTTTTCCTCTTGGCTTTATCGTTGATTTCTCGTTATTTCCTGCGAATAACCTCACAGGCCTGACCTGGGACTAGTTACAGAATTTTATTGCCTGCCGTCTTTGCCTCAGTGTTGATTTATAAGGAAGAAATGACTAAAAAAATGTCTCTGGTGACACATGGAGGTCCGTTAGTCTGCCATGATAGCAGTTGGCTCTTCTGCAGGGGGCTAGGGGTTGGAATATATATATCTAACTGGAGGAGTGCCGATTGATCTGACTGCCACTGATCATAATCGGCTGATTTCAGTTAAAAAGCGTATGATTGGTAATCAATCAGCGTCTCTTGTTGCCGATCACATTTATCTCCCTTCTCAGCCTGCAGCTGCTCTCCTGTAGTGAGGAACTTTAACTGATTGGGGACGTTTGCGAGTTGCGGCGGAGAATTACCTCAGGGTGAAGCACGACACCACGCACCACGAATCTAATATGATTTTTAAAAACAAGAACTTGATTGATTTGGCTGCATCAGTGCAGGAAGAAAAGACATCAGCAGGTAGAGCAGCGCAGCTACCAACACTCACCGGATTAGCATCACGCTCAGAGAGCTAAACAAATAACCCCAACAATAATCCAAGTCTTGGAGCCGCGGAGTGAGACTCTGGTTCTGGTTCTGGTGTCGGACCGCCGCTGCTGGTGGTAATATTTCCTAGACGGAGCCGTTCAGCCTCCAGACGGTGAGCTCTCACAGCAGCAGCTGCTTGGAGCTGAAAACAGATTCTAGACGTGTATTGAAATATGTGTCATCTCTAAATTAGGTGAATTTATTGCCAGATAACATAGAATCATTTATGCCTACAGTGAAAAGTTAACAGCCAATATCACTGATCGGTATCGGTATCGGCAGCAATAAACCTGATCGTCTCTAATGTATAAATATTTAGGAGGCTACCTCCATTTTGAAGTTTTTCAGAACTCAGCCAGCATCAGAACCGCTACCAGCGGACCCGGTCCAAACGGACCGGGTCTGAGCGTCCTCACGTGCAGGTTCTAGTTGGGATGGGTTGGGTCCATGTTGCAGGATAGATTCTGGTGAAGCGAGTCGCTGTGATGTTGGTTCTGTTGCTGCTGGTTCTACAGGAGAACCCGGCTACAGAGGCAGATTCTGATGGAGCCGGCCCGGCCCGGCCCGCTGTACCTGAGGAGCACTTCGACGGTTTCCCTGAACGAGCGGTGAGATCCAGAACCGACCCAGAACCGACCCAGAACCAGCTATGCTCTAACGCCAGGTGTCCCTCAGCTTCTCTCAGCTTCTGACGACCCGGCTGACCCGACCCGGCAGGCCCGGTTCCAGGAGCCGCAGGATGAGAATGGCGCTGGTTCAGGTGAGCTGAAGCTCCACCCCTCTGACCTTTCAGTGGGATCGGGACGGATCCGGTCCGGTTCTGATCCTGGGGTCTGTGTCTCCATGGTAACGGGGTGTCTGATTGGTCCTGTGTGTGTCAGGCTCCGCCCACCTGCCCGAGGAGGCAGCTGCGTGTGAGGGGCAGCGTGTGGACCCGACTGGGGGGTCCGCTGCTGACCCGCGGGCTGACCCGACGGCACTGGTCCTGGAGGCAGCCCGGGTTCTGGAGCTTCAGGAGGAAGTACACCTGGAGAGGCAGGTGCAGCGCCCCCTACAGGAGTGAGTAGCAGCTGAGCTGCGATCAAAGCTTCTCATGTGACATCACACTGACGGCCATCTTGGTAGGCACTGTAACCAACTGTCATGGTAGTTCCTATGGAGTTACTATGACAACAATAAACAAGCTCTCTCCTCATTCCCAACTTATGAACTAAATGAGTTCCTATAGATATTACTGGACTAGTTTCTGATAAATATCAGCTATATTTGCTGCTGAAGTAGCAGCATTAGCTTAGCATAAATGGCCTGATAAAGTAGGCTGGTTCTGTTCTGGATCTGGTGATGATGATGCAAAGAAGGATTCTTCATAGGATCAATAATGTTCTGGCCAATCCTGACCGTCTTCTTCATGTCTCAGGAAGGCGGAGCGTCTTCAATCAGAGGCTTCTTCAGAGTCACTGCAACACAGACTGCTACAGGAGATCCTTCCTGCCAACAGCCACCAGCATCTACAATAACTGAAGAATTTCAATTAACCTGTCATTCACAGGTTGTCATTCACAAACAGGGGTGTCAAACTCCAGTCCTCAAGGGCTGCTGAGGAGACGAGAGGACCCAAATTTGGGTCCTCTCGTGAATGACAGGTTAATGAGTTAAAATGACATTTAATTTCCCTTTGGGATTAATAAAGTATTTTTGAACTAAGCTGAATTGAATTAGCTGCTAGCCAAGCTGACATGTAGCCTCTGTGTTGCTACGCGTAGCCTCTGTGCTGCTACGCGTATCCTCAGTGTTTAGCTTCTGTGTTGCTACGTGTAGCCTCAATATTTAGCCTCTGTTGCTATGCGTAGCCTCAGTGTTTAGCCTCTGTGTTGCTATGCGTAGCCTCAGTGTTTAGCCTCTGTGTTGCTACGCGTAGCCTCAGTGTTTAGCCTCTATGTTGCTGGATCGTGACGGTTCCATTCAGCAGAACCTCGTTATTCAGTTTGTCTGTTTAAACGTTGCTGGTCTGCAGCCATGTGTTCAGGTGAAGGAACTGTTCCTGCTCTGCAGGTGGTGAGCGATGGCTGGCGGTCAGAGCAGCTTGTTTCCTCTCTGCCTGATACGGTCGATCCCCACGGCAGCCATTTTGTTCCTGTATCTTACTCTGGTTGGTCAAGAGCAACAATATATTCTGGTTTTGTTCCTCTTGAATCCTTGGACCGTCTGTGCTTTGCTCAGCGGTTCAGTGGCACAGATCACTTCCGGTTCAGACTTGTGGGAACTCTTTATAGGAAAGAAAGCACGACCAGAGGTCAGAGGTCAGGTACAAGCCAGGCCTCAAACCAGCAGGGGGTCTCCTGCACCCACCGGTCTTCTTCTCTGCTGCTTCTCCACAGGACAGCGGAACCTGCTGAGTCGGCTGGGACAGCGCCACCTGGTGGAGAAATCGGACCTGCAGAACCAGTCTGAAGGTCGGTTCAGATGAACTGTTCAGATCTGATCTGAACTGAACTGTGATCTGTTCGGTCCATCATCTGCAGAACCTTGATGCATCTGACCACTCATCATCTCCGTCCTGTGACAGGAGGGCGGGGCCCCACGCTGTGGAGGGGCGGGGCCACGGCCTCAAAGGGGCGGGGCTTTGTCCCAAAGCAGCAGCTGGATGCTGAGCTGGATGAGTACATGTCTCTGTCCAGAAGCAGGCTGGACCGGCAGCTGGACGACTACATGTCCATGTCCCGCAGACGCCTGGACCAGGAGATGGACGAGTACATGCTGATGGCGGGCCAGTGTCTGGAGGACTGAGGGGCGGGGCTTACAGGGGGCGGGGCCTGGTGTTTTTTTTACCAGTTTTATTTACTATAAGCAGCAAAGATCTGGCTGCTGATTGGTTCCTGAGCTTCAGGTCTGTCTCTGGAGGCTTTTGTTTGTTCTCTGATTGGTTGTTGTATTTTTGTCTACTTCACTGACCTCTCTCTGCGTTGGAGATCTGAGTTCCTGAAGCTGCATTTTTGTTCTCTAAGTTTGAAAATATGTGAATAAACGATGTTTCCTTTAGAGAAGATGCTTTTTCCTCTAAGTGGGCGGGGCTAGCGCTCTGCTCCACCTACTGACTGTTGTGATTGGTTCATGAGTGTAGCTCAGTCTGCATCAGAAACTAATTACTGGTGTTTTTAATATCAGTGCATATTAAACTGTAGTGCAGCTCACATCAACATGTTATAATAAACATAAAACTTCTCCAGGCCAGATGACCCCCAAATATCAACACCTGCATTTGCTACATTCTTCTGCTTCAGCCTCCTGACTGATCACAGATGGTCCTCATAATTCTGGGTCTAGCTGCAGTTCCTGCAGCCGCCCAGAAGGTGGAGGTGTTGGTCTGTTTTCTACAGGCCCCGCCCCCTGGATGCTTAGCCCCGCCCACTGGGCTGTCACGTGAGTGATCTAGGGTTGAAGGTTTGAAACCCAGCAGGTTCCTCTGATGCTTCAGCCCTCAAACTTAATTTAAATGAATGTGAATTTCTTGCCATCTTGTAGCGAATCCCATCTTTACAACATTCCTGTTAAAACACAAGTTTCATATCTTGGGGTAATTATCACAAAAGATCCCAAAGAAAGATGCAAGCTAAACGTTTCAGATTTATCCTTAAATCGTACATTTAAAATCAACTGGATCAGAATTTTTTATTGAACCCTGACTCTTTGTGGAATTTTATTCCTAATTATATTTTCTCTAAACTTGGTGGCCTTTCATTTTTACTGAAGTCTAAATACAACGTAGAAAAACTTCCCCTAAACTATCCAGTTATCACAAGCGGACTCTCCCTGCCTGCTCTAGTTTATAAACTTTCTTTCTCATCTGGAATAACCAGAATATTCTTTACAAAAATCAATCTGTTTTTCCTTAACTGGTTTAATATTATTTTTGTAAAACAATTATTTAACTCTGACGGGTACGAAAAGTCTTGGTCTGAGTTTTTATCCACCTGCTGGAGCCCAGCCATTCCTGAAGACGTTCTGCTCTTTAAGGGCATCTTCATCCTACGGAGGACAGAGCTGCAGACCCTGCTCTGTTTCTGAATCTGCTGTGGGTAAAATGCTTCTCCTCTAAACCCTCCACTAGAAACAGGAATATAAGATCCTTATTTCAGAGGGACATTGCTGCTACACCTCATGTGACCCACTACTGGAGACAGTTTGTTTCATATCAGATGGAAAAAGGTTTGGACTTCCAAATACTTCATTACGAACAAACCTTGTGATGTGTTCTGTCTGTCACTGCTCTTTCTGTCATTTGGACAATGAGACAAGAGTCCACTTGGAGACGCTCCTCCACTGTCTCTGTCTGGAAAGACTTTATTATATTCAATCTCACATCCTCAATAGTTTTCCTCTTATATACAGATCGGTGACGTGTGGTGAGGTTCATAGCTGGTGAGACACTGATTTAATCAATAAAGTGATGATTAATCATAATCTGTAGGGGGTCAGATTTACAAATATAGACCCCCTACATGTTATTGTTTACGTTTAAAATTTTGCGCATGCGGACAACGCAGGAGGGCAAAAAGACTATTCTTTTACACAGGGCCGGCCAAGGCATAAGCAAACTAAGCACCCACTTGGGACCCCAAGGCCACTAAGGCTTGGGGTCCTAAGTGGGCTAATTTTTTATTACTTTATTTTTTTTAGTAATTTCTATGTCATAATATCAAAAACACACAATTTCACTGTGAAGTTATTTGTTTTTACAATAACATATATTTGATAATATATGTAGAAATTATATTAAAGGAGGAAAAAATAAATTGCTCTTGGGGCCCCCTGGTGGCCGCGGTAGGTACCGCACGCTTCGTCGGTAACATGAGCTGCAATGAGCATCCAAACGTCCAAAGCTCCGGTCAGAAGTTAGCAAAACAATGTCTCAAAAAAGGACTTATCCTTCAGGGAGGGAGAAAAGAAGGAGGAAGAACAGAAAAAAGCCAAGATAAAGGTTTGTTTTACTGAGCTTTGGTGATGTAAAGATTAGTAAAACTGCTAACAGAAAATTAGCTTGATAGCGACCTGGAACGGTCCAGTTCAACCAAGTCCACCTCGCTGCAGCAAACAGAAAGGGGCGGGAACGGACCGCTGTCAGTCTCTTACCTTATTTGGAAATGGGACCATTGCACTCCAGAAGTTAAGGGGGCGCTATTTCCTATATTTCCGTTTTTATTTTATTTTGAAATCTGTGATATATTTTCACCTTTAGGAAGGAGTTTCACTCTCAATGTATTTGAACTTCTCTCTTTTATTTACTTTAGCGCAGCTCACAGTTTTTAACAAATTCTGTAGCTTTTGGTGTACTTCTGAATCTGCTCCTTAGTCGCATCTTTTCGGTCCTGTTACTGCCTCTAGTGGCGTGGGGGTGGTAATACAACTAATATAATTACATTACTAAATTTAGTTACATTACTAAATCAGAATACCAAAGTCAAATCTATATATTTCCATCAATTATGGGAGGAACAAATGACATAAAGACACATGAAAAACAACATGATCAACTATAATAAAAATACCATTCACAATGTATATGTAAGAAATTTAATTGAGCAAAAGTCAATAAACAAATGAATTAGGTACAGAAGAATAACAACCCAGGTTGTTACAACCAGGATTGTTAAAGATATAAGCAACAATTCACATCTTTGTTTTTACAGTGCCATGTATATTATTGAGACTTTTTGTTGTAGAGTCTTATATATAGAAGAAAATAAGATGAAACTATTTAATCTATCAACAAAGAAATTTTCCTTTGACTCTAAAATGATAAATCATATTCATGAATCACATTATTACACGGCCCATCTGTGGTAACGATACAAAAAATCGTCGCCTGCAGAAACTTTGTGTGTCCTACAATGATGGCATGAGGCTCCTACTCAAAGTGCCTAGATGGAGCAGTGCTAGACATAAGTTTGTACATAATGCTGTTCCCACATGTGCAGCTGCGCTCAGGAATATTATGCATGTGTAGATTATCTGTGTCATGCAATAATATAATTGCAATTTTAGTAAATCCTGCTTTTAGTGCTGTGAGATTCTCTTCAAGATTATGGAATCATGGCGTCATCATTTATTTGTGACTCGGTGAATAATATGTCATGTTTATTTTTAGTTTTCTTTTATTT